GAATGGTCACATTGAGATCAGCTAGTGTATAATATGCACATGAGTCTGTCAGTAGCCTGGAGGATGTATTTTGGAATGTGAGAGAATTGGAGTTGAGTGTTACATGTACATACTTACAGAGCATAAGCTATAAGAGAGTATAAGCTAGTTGTGCGTATGGTTTCTATTTACGCATAAATAAAATGTCCCTTTATTTCCTATGTACATGTTCATTAAATCGTTGGGCCATTTTTATCACTCAACGCCAATTGCTATTATGATAAAGATGTTCCTTTTTCTAGATCTACAAGTCTACAGCAGACGTTAGCTCAGGACAGTTATTGTATAATAAATATTCAACTGTTACTGATGATCATTTGATGTTAAGAGATATTGTAATGGCTAGGAAGATGCCTAGAAGGTTATTTGTACAGCCACACACTTCAATTGATACTGGTAAGCAGGGGATGGGTGGATGAGGGATGTCCTCAGTCTTACCTTGTAAGAATAAGGTCTATTATTAATTAACCTGCCTGACCAATGGGTTTGGCTTATTTGCATAGGCTATGCCGTGAATATTGTCCTGGCACAATTCTCTTCTGCCACTTTTGCCTCACTGATATTTATATCATTTCTTTCTTTAGATGGTTCTGTTCTTAGTGAATTTGATGGTTCATTTGAAGGGATAATTTCCTCATTTCTAGCAAGATGATACTGAGCTGGAGTCTCTTTGGAGAAATGATCAGCATTATTGGAAACAAAAATAGACACAATACATAATACAACAAATTACAACAACAATTAAAGCACAAATTAAAGAAATGGAATTCACTTGTATTGAGTGATAAATTGTCACATTGTTTATTGCATGTGCATGCATGTATTAATTGTGCAGTGAAGTAATGTAAGAGTTGATGGCTCTTTCCAGTGATCAAACAGCTAGACAACACAGTTTTTGGGTACTTTGCTGTGCTGAGATCCAACCTATATATACGTGAAAATAGACTGCCATAAAATAAGAGTTTAGGCTAAGTGCTGTTTCCCCATGCATTCAGGCTTCAAAGACGTGTACATGACCGTAGATATTATGACATTACAACTGTTGACTTGCACTAACCATTTCACATTTTCTGTGACAGTAGCTTGTCTCTTGCTCAGATTGCACTAAGAACCTGCAGTGAGCATCTGGTGATGGTTCCGTGCTCTTGTACCAGAGAATATCACCAGCAACAATAATGGCAGGCGAGGTTGCTGCTCCTCTAACGGTTTCTTGCACTGGAGCTCGAGGGGGAGCCGCCACTTGCTCAATTAAAGCTCTTATTCTTCTTAGCAGCATTATAAGCAGCAGTAAAAATATCATTTCTAACTGATAGCATGCTGATAGGCACCACCGATGCTCATGCTTATATAAAGATCTTATCATAGATATTAGAGTAAATGAAATCTATGATCTATGAAATCTATGAAATCTAATATCTATGATCTTATATGGTATACCAGACTCCACCCTTTTTGTCATTTGGATCTTGGAAGTGAGAGGTCACAGATGGTCACTCGCTCAGCAGAAAAAAAAGACTTCCGCTCCCGTTTATGGTGACAAAGATGACGAAATGTGTTAGCCCTGCGCACGTGGGAATGAATCATGGGGCTCTCAATATCAGTCATTGATTGAATGAATAATGTTACATGCTGATAGGCACCACGGATGCTCATTCATTTACTCTATTATCTATGTAAAGATAGTGGAGACCAGACTCCACCCTCAATGTCAACGCCGCGTGCCCGACATATCCGGGATAAACAGTTAATCATATTTGGTTGAATTCCATGATTCCATCAAAGGAGTAAATGTTTTGATGGTTATCAATTTGATACAAATTAACTATTACAGCAAAAAATGTAACCAAGCTGGACCATTTTCACCTGTGTATGACATCACTATAAAATATTCAGCAGGAATGAATATTTTGTATATAGAAGACATACCAGCATGCATTAATAATAAGTTAAGATGGTGGTTGTACAAGTTCTTTAGACACAAGATGATTATATATCTTTCTAGTTTTATTTACATCAATACGACACAACTTCCTAGCATCCATCAGACGTAGCTTCCCTCCACATTTCCTACTCTCAGCAATCATTACTCCTTTACAGTGTAAATATACATCAGGTAATATACGATGGACTGAACATATCTGTATAAAAATATAAAGGGAAGAGGTATCAGTGCATGCTTTAAAAGGAATTCAAAGAAGGTGAATGATATGCATTATGTGTCGGCTAGAAGATGCAACATTACTCCAACTAGAAATTGTTATTACTCCAAGTTTACACAAACAACGTACACAAAAGGTATAGTCTCACTTAATGTAGTTAGCCTGGATACACTGAGTAATGTATGTAAATTAGTATTTAATTTAATTTAATTTAATTTAATGGTATTTAATGACACACAAATATCCTCACTTGTTTCTCTTCATGATCCAGTTGCTCCACACCGGGTGAGTATGTAATGTTTAATGGAGTTAATGAGTATTTTGTTTTACCAGTACTACACATTGCTTGCTGTCCTTGTAGTTCAGTATTAGTACATGATATAGTAGCACTGCAAAGGAGAAAATGTTAAACACAAAGACAATGTCCATTATAATGTATCATTAAAACTCACTTCTGCTGTTCTGTTAAAGCAATCGACTAAATTTTGATGAAGTTATATTGCCACATGTAGTCCAAGCTTACCTTGTTATTCTTTGTTATTAAATCAAGTGATGCCTTCATTCTTTCTCTTGTTTTCTCTCTCTTTTCTCTTAACCTTTCATACAGTTCACCACCTGTGACCAGTATAACAAGATAAACT